TCTGGCGCTGGTGTAGCATACTGACAATACGTACGAGGAAGGGGCGATGATAGGAGCTACGATCACCGCCCACAAGGGCACCATGAATTTATAAACAATGGAAAGGACTTACGACTGACGATGAATAAACAGACGAAAGTACATTCCCGGACTTTTCTGATTGCAGGAGCACATTTGCTTGCAATTGGGAAGCCCTATCTAGAAGTTACACCTTCCAAACACCTGCGTGAAAGCCCCATGCATGGCGCATTGCAGAGGTGATGCCAATTGGCGCCCAATGGCCTATTTCCTGATACCCTTTGCGAAAACATGTGTTTTAGAAGCATACCAAAGTCTTCAAGCCAACTGGAGGTTTCATGGCCTCGGAGGGGCTGATTTTTCGTGTCGTGGGGGGGTGGTCACGAAATGATCACAACGGGGAATTTTTTCGAATAGCAGGCCTAGGAAGAAAATTAAAGCCTTGCTGGAAAGTAGAAATCTTCAAGCTTCCGGCACAATTCTTTTTTTACGAAAGGCCGTGTATGAAGCTTGCCATGGACGTCCAAAGCGTAGCGACTCGCGTCAAAAATGATCACAGACGGATCACAACGATGATCACAACGGGGAAAATCTCTGGAATCGGAACGTTTTTGAAATCGCTCAATTCAGGTGACAAGAGCCAACCTAGCTCTACTCATTCCCACTTACCCCTCTCCGATAGCTTCACTTTCAACGAAGTTATGGGTGTTCAAATGAGGGGTACTTTTCACGTGTTTGGCTTGAAATTGGCTCCAGGCCGTAAAATAGCGCGCACCAATGAGCTTGTATGAGCGCGCTGACCGCGAACAGCCAAAATTCAAAAGTAATCCATAGTTCCGGTTCCCAGCTGGCCTGGTGAGTTTTTTTTTCTTATCCATTTGATTGTGAATTATTTTGATTGTTTGTTTTTGTTGAGTTTGATTTTGTTTTGTTGAGTTTGATTTTGTTGTGAGGAAATTGCTCAGGATTCAATTTCTACGGTTTCATAGGTAGCTTTTGCAATGGATTCTTTTCTAGATTTTGCGGATTAGTGGATTGGGATTTATCTAGACCAGATGAGGAGGGTTGGTGGGCGAAGTGTCTTTGAAGTTTTTTGTTCTCAGGAAGAGGAAACGTTCAGCAATATTTTTTGTTAAGTCCTTCGCCTAGGAATAGTTCGATAGTACCTGTTCTCATTATTGTTCTAGCATGCGCCTTTTTGAGCTTGCTTTCACGTTGTAAAGTATCTACCGTTCCCGTCCACACTTCAACATGGGCCATGCTTACGACCTCCACCCCCCTCCATCGCCGGGCAAATACGACCCCCCCCCGTGATAACATCCAGAACGCGTACTGCGGCGTTAAACAGCAGTTATCATAACAAAAATAGTCATAATAGTTTTATACTGTTCTGGAATGATATATACAATATGAACACAGTATCTTTTAACTTCTAGAAGTCGTCAAAAAGGCAGGGACCTGGTATTGATTAGAAGCTCTGGTTTGACAGTGCAATCAATACCACTCCGACAATACCGACTCCTATCGCACATGCCAAGAAGATGAGATTACTGCGACCCTGAAATTGTGCAAATGAAAAACATCCTAGAATTACTTAGATATATTCGAGTCATGAAAAGCTGCTTATCAACAGCATCGTTATAGCACACATTAACGGGCCGAAATACTGCCAATACGGTAGAATACAGAACACAACGTACCGTAATTGATTTGAACACGAGAACGTCCAACGAAAGCACTAATGATGGCGGGAAGCTAAAATGTGTATTTTTTCTACTCTTCTTTCAATTAGACATTCCAAACACCTGTTATAACTTTCTAAAACTTAACCTGGCCTGAGGGTGCAATTAAAGGGGCAATCCCGGGTGATGGTATGGGTCAAGTGACGCCTAGCATTGAGCATTTCTCACAGCTGGGCTCTTCAATCCTAGGAGTAACGGGGAGAGGGCTGGATGAGAAAGGCGCAGTGGTAAGCCGGGCCAGTCCCATCTTGTCAGGAACGGTTACGGTAGAGCCTTCGTACTTTGTGCCACGAGAATCCGCGAAAAGAATTCGGTACCCACTCGATACTTTTTGCCCATATCTCGGCATCCTTGTGAGAACTCGGTATCGTTCTGTACCTGCAGTTGAACAACCCGAAGAGTCCATAGGTTAGAGAACATTGTTCTGCCCTGTGGCTTCGTCGCTTCACCACATGGTATAGTTAACGGGATAAGTATCTTTAGCGCGAGCTATACGAACCCCCCATCTCCACAAGGTATTCGCGGCCTGAAGACGTTGTTGGCCACCTCTCCCTAAAGTGACTCGTATGGGGCGAATTTCGGATTCTATCTTCATCCTCTTTGCACAAAACAACGAATCGGTGCTTTTGTCAACTACGAATCCCTGAAATATGCCACGCAGTAGCCTATATATGAGCTGCATTCATAATTCGCCACTCTAGCAGCTCGGGGATCGTGTGGCTGCCACCAAAGCGCTACGCCGCTAATTGCTGGAGCGCTGTAAGGCAGCGTTCATACTTCGCGACAGCAGTGGCGATCGCCGCGATCGTCGGTACGCGTCAGAGCGCGCCCCAACGCTATTACTTGGAAGTGCTATTAGGGTGTCCGGAAAGTTTTGAGAAAATTTGGTCATTTTATTCAATACATATTAACAACAAGAAAAGCGAAAAATCAGTAATCAAGATAGTGGCCCTTCTTAGCCACGACATCTCTCTACCGAATGGGCAGGGCATGGATACCTTTCTTCCAGAAGGAAGCAGGCTGGGACGCAATCCATTCATCGACCATACGCTTGACATCCTGATGGTTGTTGAACATCTTACCCGTAGCGTAAGCCTGGAGACTCCTGAAAGCATGGCAGTCACAAGGGCTAAGGTCAGGTGAACACGGAGGATGGGGCAGCCATTCGATTCCTAAATTCTCCAGCTCGTCCCTTGTCGCCTTCGCATGATGTGGTCGGGCGTTGTCCATGACGATGTGGAACTTGCCCCGGTATTGGTGGGAAACTGGAGCTCGGGACACCAGCTCTCGTAGTTGCTCACAGAATATCGATGATGTTACAGTAGTACCCTCATGAAGAATCTCGTAGTAAATACAGCCGGACCTTTTTGAGTGGCGAGCAGAAGAAAAACAAGAGCAAGTCCTTCTTGGCGTGGCAGCCTCGCTTTGGAACGGGCTCCGGCTTTTGATCCGACGGCAGCCACTCCAGTTTCCTATCCGGGTTTTCGTACGAGATCCACTTTTCATCCTGAGCAATTATGAAGCTCGCCCAAGTCGTCGTTCTTTCTCGATCGAGGAGCTTCTGACACACATCAACCCTCACCGCACGCTCCCTTGCGGTAAGAGACCGCGGAATGATTCCGGGCAAAGCAGCGCGGAAGCCGTTCCTTTTCAGAATGCCGTGAATAGTGGATCGAGGAGTGGAAGTCGTCCTCTCCAACTCCCTCAGACTTTGGGCAGGATTGGCCCTCACAGAAGCCAGCACGAATGCCAGTGTTGGAAGAGGAGGGCGGCTCCGCACCGAGGTGCTTCTCGAGGCTAAACTCTCCCACTGCGAAGCGATCGTACCACCTGTAGCAGGTTGCAAGAGAGGGTGCATTGCCACCCATCGACGACAGCGACTCATGCCTCGCTTGAATGGCGGAGCGGCCGGAACGGTGAAGATGAAGTAGGATGCGTCGACTGTAGCGTCTGTCGCACATTATTCGATTGGTCAAAACAAAGGCTAATGACGAAATGAAATATTGGTCAGCTGCTGATTTGATCTACAGACAATTCTCTATCTTCTCATGTTTTGATCTACAGATTTGCTCATGGCCTTCGCGCGCTACGCTTTCTCAAAGTGAGGCAGCGAAATTTTCTCAAACTCGACACCCTAATATTTAGAGGCAAGTGGCTTGATTTCACTTGCTTTTTTTGTCTTTAATTGCACTTGACTCTTACTAGAGTCTTTTGACTCAAGGGGAGGTGGATGGAACACAGTAGCCTTTCTTTTCTATTTTCTTTTTTGATTCAGGATAGAAATGAGCAAAAGCAACGGGGCTTCATTTAGGGTGAGTTTCTTATTGTTTCTTTTTTTCATTCCTCGAGCTTATGCAACTTATGACAATCTTCTCCTTCCCTCTCCTCCTCTTTCCTCCTCTGGATATCACAAAGAATTAGTGTTTTCGTCCTAGGTGATTTCCTTACTGTTTCTTTTTTTTCTTTGTTTGAACTCGACTTGTAAACTATAAATGTTTTGGAAGTTGAACAGTTTGGCCAGTAGGAAAGTTTCAAGGCACTCACATATAATTGAAACAATGAAAACCAAAGAAACAAAGGAGAAGCTCACCTATTAAATGAAGTTGCACTTATCCCGGCCCAAATAAAAGGTGAAACCATCTCCTTCCTTATATTCCAGATCCTCTTAGGTAGAGAAAGTCCTCAGTTTCCAGCTAGTAGCCATTATTAAGAGAAAAAAGGTATTAGTTGGATTTCCTTATTTATCAAAGCGAGCGGTCCAAGTAATAGCGTTGGGGCGCGCTCTGACGCGTACCGACGATCGCGGCGATCGCCACTGCTGTCGCGAAGTATGAACGCTGCCTAATCGCCACCTCAGTCACATTGTGGATGGAACGCCTTAATGGTACGACTAGCAATGGAGCGCCTTTGGTCGCAGTCGGGCGGCTTTCAAATGGCACGACTGGATTGTTCGAGTCGCGAAGTATGAACGCGGCCTCAAGTATCATATGCATATTGAGACTGGCAACTCGAAACGCTCAGGGTGCATATTGAACCCGGCACAAATATCTGCTGTGGCTATTCACTGCTCACTCAAAGTCAGGTCTGTTATGCATCGAGCATCGAAAATCTCGTGAAAGAAAGTTTGGCTCTGATTTTACCCGATTCAGATCCATTGGGTAACTCAGGGCATGTCAGTTGCACTACGGGAATTATACCTAACACTGTACCAGTCTCTTGTGCTTTCCACTTTCAAGTTCTTTATTCCTTTTGTACTACCAGGAACGGACAAGATTCAAGGTTACTAACCCGAGTTGTGATCGGATATGCGACCACTTGTGACAATCTATCACTGGACAGGAACCAAAACGTCATTCCGGATGTCCAAAGTATACCATATCCAACCGAAGGTAACACCAACTCCCGGTCAACATACGCTTTTTCACGTCGAACAATGCAGTACAGTACAAAATAGATTGTAGAAAATACAAATACAGTCGAATAAAATGACCAAATGTAGTCGAAGACTGAAACTTGTTGAAATTTGTAAGGAATCTAAGAATTGGAGAATTCACTTCAGTTCTTACCTTTATAGGGATCATTTGAAGGATGTCGCTGTTTGAGTATGTCAATAGGTGACATCATCAAGCCATGAAGTATGGCCAAGAACATTGTCATAATAATATAACTAGAAAAAAGGTTATCGAATCAAATTTTGATCGGGGTTAATATGTGTGATAAAAAAATTTTTGAGCATCCCAGATTGTTTTGTGCTTCTACAGTTTTCTGTAGAAATGACAAGAAAAAATGCGCTTGTACAATTGGCCATTCAGAACATTTACCGACTAGCCGAAAATTAAACCCCAAGTTATTGAAGCCTACAGGGATCTTGACGGGAAAGGTACTCCCATCCCATACTGCGCCCTTACTCTCAATCGCCTTAGAGGGGAAGCGCGCGACCGAGAAAACCCTTATAGTTGACAGTCTCTGCCCACACCGGAAAACCTTATTGGTGGAATGTCTAAGCCCAGACAGCAAGCGACTGATACCACAAGCAGCGCGGACTGTTTTGTGTTTTTTATTTCGATGCGGTTGTTCAGGCTTCACCGACAGGGTACACCCTGCCGTTGAGGAAAATTCCTGCAAAATTCGATCCCACCTCAAAAGTTCTTCCCGCGATACCACCCCCCCCCTCCCGAATACGACCCCCTCGTCGGAAATCCCCAGGGTACGAAGTGTCCTGTTTGCCGACAGATGTTTTCTAAAGGACAATTTTCTACTGCAATCATGGAATCTTTTTATAGTCGTCACCCGGGCAGTTGATTAGGCGGTCAAAGGGTCGCAGACGCGGCTGCGGCGCGTCACGACCGCGGCGATCAGCTGTTTCCAGCCTTGTTTAGCCATTTTCTCCCTATTCTATTTTTTCAAGTCAAGTTATTTTTTGTCTCTATGTTCTTGTAATGGAGTGTTTTCGCGGTTTTCTAGGTATTCGTCTAATTGTTTGTTTAATTGTTTAATTGTTCGCAAAAATTAGAGAAATCTCAATCATAATTTACCTTGTGAAGACAAGGAACAACTAACCTTAAGAAAAGCAGCCAAAAACAGTGAAAAGTAGGGAGAAAATGACTAAACCAGGCCGGAAACAGCTGATCGCCGCCAACAGTTCCTACGTACGCGGTCGCTGCTGCAGCCGCGTCTGCGGCCCCTTGACGACCGCCTAATCAACTGCCCGGATGGCGACTGTACATTGCTCTCAAGTTTCATCAGATCTACTTCATCAGAGCTCCTATTTATTCTACAAAATAACTTCAGTTCTAAGGAACCTACGGTAATTTTCGAAGTAAGAGCTCCTTATCAGTCAATATCTTCCATGGATGTAGGATGAGAAACGTCCTTGACGCTATCTGCTCCCGGAGCTGCGACCTCGTTCGATGACGAGTTGTGCTCTTCATTACTGACGGATGTTTTCGATGACGTAGTTTTAGCGGAGTTGGCTCTTTTTGCTTTCAATTCTGTATGTTCGTTTGGAGTTGATGCACTCTCCCTCTTTTCGTCTTCGGCATGCTTCACAAAAATGAAGAGAACGCCACTGAAATACATAATCTGAGTATCAGAAAAAAAGCCAAAGAAAGTTCAGAAGAAAATTCAGAAGAAATAAAGACATTGTTATTACCTGACAAGAGTTATGGCCAAGCCAATATAATTGAGCAAGTTATGTTTCATTTCTGTGGGGGCTAGCAAACCAAACAGCCCAAAACGTGCAACTGACCAAACATATGAAAGAATTATAGAGTCTGCAAACTCTTACCTGCATCGTCCCCCATATAAGAAATCCAATACCCATACCAAGACCGTTCACTATCGGAACAGAGAACACGTTTCCTGAAAATCTCCTAGTAACTGTTGCTTATCCCTTATTGAAGGTTTGCTGTACGCTCGTTTTCACAAAAACTGATCCGCGTTGCTTGCATTTGTTAGAGGGTAACGGCGTTCTGCAGCTGCAGGAGTGGCCAATTTTAGGCAGCTTAAGGCACCTCCGGACGATTCTAGCGTCGGCAATTCAGGCGACGCCCGCGACACGCCGCGCCGCGGCCAAATCACGGGTTGCATCTACCTCAGTAACTGCCCGAAGCCTTGTCATTGAAGCATAAGGATTAGACCTCTTACATTGTTTACAAGGAGTTGCCCCGACGCTTTCAAATCAATTTGAACTGCCACGCAACAAAACCGTACACCTCATCGGCGCGCCGACGCCGCGGCTCGTCCACCCACGGCGCGACCGACCCGAGGTAACACCCTATAGCTGCCGGCTGTGAGCTATTATAAGTGCCCAGACTCCACCCAGGCAAGTTATGAGACGCCAAGCCGCTACCAAGTGCTATTTCCTGCGCCCTCTTACGTTCGACTGTTCTCTGGTAAAAAGTTGGGGCCACGCTGGCAGCAAGCAATTAATAGTAGGGCACACCTGGTGTGTTGCGCAATTCTCCCAACAGGGGAGGGGTCGTAATTTGGCGGCGGAGAGCGGTCCGTATTTCCCTTCCCATCCGCTCGACAGCAAAATTTTATCGGAAGGAAGGAGGGGGGGGAATTCCGGGGTCTCTGGAAAAAGTGGCTAGAAATCTTTGAGAACGATAAAGTGTAAGGAGTACAAGGAGAAGGGGGGGAGGTCGTAATAATCTCTTTACGTTTCGTTCCGTTTCGGTTATATGCCCCTCAACCCCTTCCCCTCCCGCTCGAAAGGTCGATTGAGGAGGAACAGAAATGGTGGTGGAAGGGATCGGTACTAACCCACTCAAAAAAGCGAGGAGGTATCGCTATGCTGACCTCGCATATGGCCAAGGTCCATCTGCAGGTATACCATACACGCAGCATCATCAACGCTTTTGCTAGCAAAAAACGCGAAGCGAATACCGACGTGCCGGAAATCCAAAGTCTCCTAGTCCCCCTCAAGGCAAACAGCAGCCAATCTTGTTCAAAAGAAACATGCGACAAGTGCCCCATTTCAAGGTTTGCTATTCTATTGGTTCGGTTGCATTACTAATAGCAGCTAATTTGAGTTTATTACAAAGGATTTTCCAAGTGCTCACTTACCAGTCGCATACAGTAGTCCTCCAAATGGCAAAGCGATCCATTCAAAGCGTGAAGTCTCTGATGATGTTAATAAAAAAGCAAAATGAACAATGAGCACCACGCTGCACTCGACCCACTGAACGAAGAAACCTGAAATCATACAACTCCGGAACGGCAGGTAGGGTCCTATGTAAGGCATATCAGGCGGGTTTTTTCCTGCTTGGTAAGCGCTCAGGGCATCAAGCAAATCACCCCCACTCTAACACGCCCCATCATCCGCAGTGAACAAGGACTATAAAGTGGTACAAAAATGAACAAAATTGACAACGATACTCACCATCCTTGGTGTCTCTCCGTTTCAATGGAGTGAACATGGTTCCGAACGAGGTACATGAGATCAGTAAAGCAACATATCCAAAGGCTATGTATCCTGCAGAGTGCTCTTCCCCCGGCGAGAACGTCGAATTAGAGGTCGACATTCTGAAAGTCTATCGATAAAATTCCAACAAATTTAATTACATATTCAAGCACATATATAGAACACTGAGTGTGTCAGTAAGCAACGCTAAGAAGAACGCGAAAAAGAATCAAAGAGTATAACAACACAATGAATCAAACAAAGTAGGAAGAAGTCGTTGGCAAGGCAGCCGTACACCGTCAATCACATGCTCCATATCTCTGGGATGCGGTGGGCGTGGCTACGTGCAACATCCGACCGTGGCAGCGGCGGCGCTTGTGGCAAGGTATTCTCATTTTGTGAACATACAGTCATGTCTTTGTCCAATGCAAGACAAAACGAAAGTTCTCGCGAGCTGGAATGACTCACCAACAACTCATACGACGCCATATTCAAATAGAGTACGCAGCCACGCCCACTACGTCTCAGGGATATGGAGTGTAAGGTCAGATGCTGAGAACGTCTAGTTTCTCAGCCCTTGTATCTACGATCAGTCGGTTTCAGAGCGTTTTCCAAGAAGAAGAGTACTGTTTTGATAATCAAGTCGCACACGAGCTCTCCAAGAATCTGATACCCTCAACTAGACGAGGCAAGATTTAGTGCTATATGCCTTGGGAGAGACCACTCTATCTCTCGCTACCCTATTCCTCACCCTATCTATCATCTTCCTAAATTCCATCAGCCTCTTACCACTCTTTCCAGTATTTCCTCAAAAAATGACGGGGAAGGGGAAGAAGGGTGGGGTAAAGAACGACAAGAACTGAAAAACCGAGCAAAATCAGCAATCACGAAAAAAGTCTTTTCTTAGAGGCAACCTACGACCCGATCCTCCGCGATCAGCCACCAAATAGAACCCTTTCACTTGTAGACCACGATTCGCCCCTGTGTCTAAATCCGTCTTGAACATGTTACAACGTACTCCAGGGGAGGGTTGCAAGACATGGTCCCTTCCGTAGCATATAGGCGGCTCGAGATTCCAGCCCGGAGGCATAGTTTGTTGTGGGGTGTGGTTTCACTGGATGTGGGGAGCCGGAGATGTGGACAGACGATTGGAGGTTTGCTTGCGTGTTTGCCTTATGAGACCAACAGAGCTAATGGCAATTCGTCGCTCTAATCGAGATTTTATTGAGCCTCACTTTACTCCAGATCACTGGAGATCACATTCGACATAGGTTTTTCGAGTGGGCACGAGGATAGAAGGCTTAAGGGTTCGACTTACCAGGAAAAAAAACTTCTCTGATATAGCTCCGCGACGGGTCCTATTCCTCTGAATGTACAGCCTAAAGGCTAGCATTCGATGCGAAACATATTTGAGAACCTAAATTGCTATTTGCTTTGGTCACCTTAGCAAAAAATCGATAGCTTAGCTTTTCTGCCTTTTCGAGAACTGTAAAAGTTGCAAAGTTCTGACCGACCGGAATGAAGTAGGAGGCAAAATATGGTGACCATAAGTTTGTTGAGCTTATTCTGGAAAGATGGTGGTATCGCGTTATCATACCCTATCAGAGTAATGTCTAGCATTTTAGCAATAGAAAATTAGTAACCTGCAGAATATGGTACTCACTTCTCTCTCTCCATCCTACCCCTTCACTCACTTCGCTGTCCAGTTCTTTGAAGAATCCTGTCATCATTATCACTGAATTCAAGGCGTGAAATGGCGCGTAGGTTTTGACGCTTTGGCAACTTCTTTTTCATCAATTGTTGCCGCTTGGGGCTCGGAAAAGAGGTGGGGCCGCGCCAAAACCCCGGCGCCGCTGACGCTGTAGGTTCTCCAAAACGGTGGCGAGCGCTTAGTTAAGTATGAAATAAAAACATCATCGAATATCGTGTTTTGGCTTCCAAAATGAGGGGCGGTTTTACCTGGATTATGTGCCTCCCTCTACACAGATGGTCCCTAGACTTCTTGCTCCGCTTACTACCCCCGCTTTCCCTTACAACTATTCCTACACCCATTGTTGAGATTACGGATTTGGTCGAAAATGGAAAGAGAGCATTAGCGCCCAGTAATACATGCGGAATTTTTAAGCTGCGTTTATTTTGACCAAAAATTTATGTCCGATTGAGCTTGACCTCTTAAATATTGTTACCACCTCTGCTTTGCTCGACACCGCCTGGTGCCCGCGGCACAGGCTCCGACGTCAAAACATCTAACGCTAAGTCGAATTCTTGTCCTCACAGCTTTTCGGGAACACAAATATTACACCAGTTTAGCGTGAAAACACCTGGTACGTGCACCATGAACGCTAAAACGCCTGCCAGCAAGACATTAGGCATGGTCCCACGCACCTCATATACGGACCCCACCCAGCTCCGGACATCTCTGAGTTGTCACAAGGTGGATGGCGTTTCAAGGATTAGTAACGGATCAGGAGGCAACTCACTTTTGAACCGTGAAAAAGGTACAATCTGATCGCGGACTACGTTACCTTAAAATGAGTGGGTGAGTTTTAGAATGGAAATTGAAAGGGTCGAAGACGCCCAAAGACAGAAAGAACTGGCATTAATCGATTGTAGTAGGGTTCAAACTCTATAATCGTCTCAGTC